CTCAATGGCCATCGCACTTCGGGGACTCGGTTGCCTGCTCCGGTGAGTGGGTATGAAGCCACCTGCTGCTCTCAAGGATGGCAGCGACCAGAGCCCTGGGGCCGATCCCTGGGCAGAGCCGGCACACGCCCCCCCACACCTGCCCGACCCCGGGACAGCAGCCCCGACTCCCCACTCTCCGGCTCGCTCAGGTGGGCCTCAGCCACCCAGGGAGGCTCCAAGCTCGCGGCGGGTCCGCTTATGGGAGAACAAAGGCTCCCGTCGCACAAAGGCGTGACGATGAGCGTAAAGAAAGAGGCTGCCGGGCTGCGGCAATTTATTCCAACGCCGCTAATTCAGTTCCGGCACAATTAAAGCCGCTCTGATAATGCGGGCGACGACCGCCAGCCAGCAAATCGCTCCGAGCCCGCAGACGGGACGTGTCTTGGGAAGGGCTGCCGTATGCCTGCTTCGGCACCCCGGGAGCGTGCCATCTCGCCCCCGGGGACAGCCCTGGGGTCATACGGGGGGCTCCCGGGTCCCGCTCCACCGGGGGCTTGGGAGGGAAGGAAGTTTCCTCCGCTGGCCAGACCTCAGGGAGGCACAGCTTCCTCCCCGGGGGCCCTGCGCTAGGGATGGCCCCCGCCTGGCCCCTGGGGGACACTCTCTGGCCAGAGGCCCCAGCAGGTAGGCCAGGCCTATCCACGGCGAGGCAGGGCAGGTGTCCGTGCTGTGTGGACCTCAGGCAAGTAGCTCTACCTCTCTGTGCTTGGGGAAACCAGCACAGCTCCTCCGTCACATGAAATGTGGTGCTCATCCGCGCTGAGCTCAGCTCAGGGCCTGGCACGGAGTAAGCACGTGCCAAGTGTAGGCCGTCACCGTCATCAGTCACCATCGCTGGCTGCACAGTGGGGCCTGGGACGGGGGGAGGGGGTGGCGTGGGGTGTGGGGCAGTCAGGACGGGCAGGTCTCCTCCTCCGACCCTCTTGACACTGCCCAGAGGTCACGCCCACTTTGCAGATGAATAAGCTGAGGCCCAGCAAGGTGAACCGACTTGCCCATGCCCCCCCCCCCCCCCCCACCCCCGAGGAAGCAGTGGTGGGGACAGGCAGGACAGGACCCTCCCCAAACATGCCACCCTTGCGGACGCTGGCTCAGGCATAGGCCTCCCCTGCACCAGGGCGGCCCCGCACCTGCCTCCACTGTCCCCAGGTCCAGAGACCAGGATGGAGGGTGACGCTGGCCGCAGGGCCCGGCAGGGCGGGGAGGCTGGCGCCCAAGGCTGAACACCTGTCCGGGGGCGTCCGCGGGTGATGACGGCGGTCCCAGCGCTGCCCCCGCGGCCCGGAGCCCCTCGGTTATCACGGCGAGCAGACACCCCGCGCCGATTCGGCTCCTGCTCATTAAGCCGGACGCCGGAATGGAAATGCAAACATAATAGCTATTTGATTGGGGTGAGATATTTTGCATATTGGCTCGGCACTGATAGCAGAATTTCATCAACTCCCTTTTTTCATGCTTTAAGACCGAATTACGGAGACAGGCTTGGTGCAGCGGGATGGTCCCCCTCTCCCTTCCGAGTCCCCGAGCTGCACGATTAACAGCCCCTCCTGGCTTTAATGGCGAGGCAGCTGATGCGGGGCTGGGGGGGGGGGTGCCTTTTGAATGACCACCTCTAAGAAAGCCAGAGCTCATGTGCGTGAAGGGGACAAACCCCCCCCCCCGGACTCTGGCCCCCAGGTGGACCTGCCAGGCGGGGTGCAGGTGACGGTGTCACGGAGCACTGGACGGGGAGTCCGGAGGTCCTAGGCAAAGTCCCTGCAGGCTGCACCCATATCAAACGGGGGTGATTGTGCCTGCACCCCGAGACCGCTGGAAACATGTGAAAGAACAGGGGCGGAGTCCCCACGAGCCCCTCCCCTGACTCGGGGCCTGACTACGGGTGCGAGTGTTTACCTGAGGCCCCACCACGTGGGCCTGCCGATTATGTGGGTCCTTCTTATATTCCGTTTACAGAGGATAAAACGGAGGTGGGACACCTGCCCAGGAGCCCCTCCTGCCTGAAGGCAGGCCTCCGGGCCCGGTGGGGGGGGGGGGTGGACACTGCCGGGCCACGTGGCCCTCCCCCTCCCCCGCCCCCGTGTCCAGCCTCCCAGAGAGGGCAGCAGGCACAGCTGGAGTGCTGGCGGCCCTCGCCTCCCATGGCCTCGCTTACTCATTGACTCGGTCATTAACCTGTCAAACCTGGGTTCACTGGCTGCCAGGCTCCGCACCAGGCCCCTGGAGACCCCACGGCAACCCAGACACCCCACCCCCGAGAAAGCAAAGTGAAAAATGCAAGCGGCCATTGCCCCGAAGGAGAGGTGCAGGTGCCAGTCAGGGAAGGCTTCCTGGAGGAGGCGACCGGGGAGTGGCGCTCTGGAAGGGGACGGGCCTGCCTGCAGCTGGGCCAGGGAAAAGCATCCCAGGCAGGAGGCACGGCAGGAGGCTGAGGCCGGTGGCCTGGTGCAAGCCACACCTCCTCGAGCCTGGTTTCCGCATGGAAAGAAGGGATGTCACGTCACCGGCTGGGGTCAGGGTTCAGCAAGGTGGTGCCAGTGGGTGCTGAGCACAGACAGGTTATTATTACAAGTCTTGTTATTTGTTTCAACTCTCCAGGGGGCGCCACACCGGCCCTCTGGGGGGAGGGGGACCGGTGGACAGAGCTGGGGCCTGGCGGGGGGACAGTGTGGGCAGGAGGGAAGGACCTCCCCCCAGGCTGGCAGAAGGCCTGGCCTCCTGTCTCGCCTGCCCTGGGCAGCTGGTGGGCAGGCCCGAGGCACGGGGCGCTGGGTGGGCGGGGGCACGGTGCTGCCCGGAGAGGGACCCTGACCTCTGGGTGGCACACGGTGGCCAGATAAGGCCCCGATAACACAGAGAAAATAGCAACAGATTCAGACTTTCCCACCGGGGGGCAGTGGGTGGCTCAGGCCACGGAGGGGACAGCCCTGTTCCCCTCTGGGGGCCTTGCTGTGGGACCTCTGGGCGACTGGGGGCCGTGGCTGGCAGTCCCAGGGGCCCAGGTCCCCCAGGCAGCCGGGGTTGGGTCTGAAGCCGGGGAAGTACTCCCTCCCCGGCCCTGGCAAGGAGGACTGGATGCTCTCAGTCCCCTCCCAGGGAGGAGGGTGTCTAATCCAGCCGGTGACTGATGGAGGAGGCCACTGAGGCCCAGGACACAGGGGCCATGGCTGCTCTGGCCTGTTAGCTGCACCCCCCACCTGCAGCCCCTCGGGGCCCGGTGACTCGTGCTTTACACACAATGCTGACAAGCAGCTGAGCCAATTCCCAGGCCCAGGTGGGTAGAGAGAAGCAAGTTGGAAGGAGGGGGTGCTGAACAGGGCTCGGAGGGGGGCACACCCCGGAGGAGCAGAGGGGAGCCCCATGCACGGGCACTGCCGAAGGGCAAGTGTGTCCCCACAGCACAGAGCGGCCCCGGACAGTCCAGGGCCTGTGAGGCCGGGCTCGCACGGCTGATGGGCGGCGGGGCCACAGAGGGAGATGGGTGAGCACAGTGGGGGTCAAGGGGCAGGCTCTAGGCCCCCAGCGAACACTGCCAAGGCTTGGGGGAAGCAGTTCATTCACTGGAGACCGTCAGCTTCTCTGACGTTTAGGATAGAGGCGGGTTCCCGGCCCACTGCCGCCTAGGAGCTCACAGCCCCGAAGGGGGAGGGGCTCCCCGGGAGGGACATGGAGTTCTGGGGGGGCCCGGCGCACACACTGCGTGGAGCCTGGCTCTCCCCGCGGGTCCACCTCACCCCCAGTCCACACCCGCCGCCAGCCCACGTCTGCACGCCCCTGCCGGCCGCGCTGCCCCTCCGCCCGGTCAAGGCCTCCTCAGCCCTCAGCCCCAGCTCTTCCCACGCAGGCCGGGCAGGCCCAGGGGCCACGAGGGGCTCAGGCTGGGAGGGGCCGTAGGCCCCTGCTGTGACCCGCCAGCGGCTTCTTTGACCCAGGGTCAGCCCGCTGACAGCTGGGGCGACCACAAGAGGATGTTGGCGAGATAATCTCGGCTTATTCGAGCGGGCGCCCTGGCCCACAGAGGGGAGAACAGGCATCCGAACCCTCTGCGCCCATAGCCGCCCCCCCGACACTGGTTCTGCTCCCCGACTCCCTGAGTGGGCCGCCTGCAACAGGGGAGATGGGGCCGCGCAGCCTGACTCCGCTTCCCCACCAAGCGTCCATCTGATGGTGCTTGCATGCACCCTGCAACGGGAGGCTCACTTCTCCTCTTCCAGACATCTGGGTCTTAGACGGTCTGCTTCTTAGGCCTTGCCACCCACATACCTTAGCGGGGGATGGGGGTGGGGGCGGTTCAGGCCCTCCCTGTCATCCTGTGTCTAAGTGACTGTCAATTCGGCTGCTTTGCTGTCTGGGGGTGAGCCATACCCCCACCCATGCTGCCTCCCAGCCCGGCCCGCAGGCACCGGGGTCACGCATGGGGGCTGGGTGGGGACACTGGTGCTGTCCAAGGTAGGCCAGGCTGGAGGAGCCCGGACGCACTCTGGGCTGTCTCAGGGCAAGGAGACGCCCTCGGCATGAAGAGAAACCTTGCCGTGTCAGGAGAGTGCCAGGCAGGGCCCTGCACGCTCTGGGAACAGAGGCCAGACTGACGGACCAGAGCTACTGGGATCTGAGCTTTTAACACCCTGAAACTTTACTGAGAAATAATTCACATACATCAAGATTCATCCTTTTAAGGGCGATTCAGCTTTCAAAGGAACGTTTCTTGAAAGATGGCTGGGACGGTCCTGCGTAACCCAAATAAAAGCCAGGGCCCCCGTGGCCAGATCTCGTGCAGAAAAGCAGCCGCCGGCGAGGGGATCCTCGCCTGCTTCTCCCTGCAAGCTCCCAAGGCCAGTCAGGGTCTGGGGCTGTTTATGGTACCCGCCACCTTTCCGCCCTCATCCCCAGCCAACCCACCGCGTGTGGCTCGGTGCTCCCTTCCCAGCCTCCCCGGGCCCTTCTCCCCACACCCGTTCCTCCCTCACGGGCGGCCTGGCAATGGCCAGAACTCACTGTCAGGTACCCCTTGGCAGATGGCAGGTGGGAGAAGGGGTCAGGGCCAGCAAGGATGCTCATGTGGCCATCCTGTCCCTGTGTCCCCATAACCAACAGTGTCCTAGGCCCAGGGGCAGGAGGACCACCTCTGGGGCCTCACGCGCCCCTTACCCGGTGACTGCCCTCTCCTCCAGGCCTCATCCTTCCCTGGGTCCTTCCTTGGGGCCTTCAGTGTGGACTCCAAGGTCACACCCATCTCCCGAGTCACGCTTTCGCCCGACAGCTGCCCTCCTGTGCTCATATGCCTCCCGGGCTGGCTCTCTCTCTCTCTCTCTCCGTGTGTGAAAGCCAAACCATTACTGGGGCTACAACCCATGCCAGCACCTGTCTGGCTCCTGGCGGTGGCCCTGCTGACCCCAGCCCTGCCCACGGGCTCACAGGGTGCTCACTTGATTAGCAGGCTCACTGGCTGTGCCCAGCAGCACCCCTGCTCTGGGGCAGTGCCTGGCACACAGTAAGTGCTCAGTGAGTACTGGTGACTGTGGGCCGGGGGAGGCGGAGGGCTTGGGCAGAGGGGAGCCTTGGAGTCTGAGTCCTCTTATTGGGGTTGGGGGACCGGGGCATGCCACCTGTCCCCACAGGTAGAATATAGGCTGGGCCGGTCCCCCAACCCCAATAAGGTCCCTAGGGCCTGGGGGACCTAGGCTCAGGTCCCTAGGGCCTGGGTGGGTGTGGGGACTCCAGGCAGGGGACAGGGTGCTGACGCCGGAGGGGTCCTGTATATCCCGGCCTCAGCCACTGCCACTTCCTCCCGTGGCCAGCCCCATAACTGACAGGCGGAACTTGGGGGGCTTAACTGCCCCGGTCCCACGGCCATGCCCAGTGGGGGCCCAGGGTAAGCCTGGCACCCTGGAACACACGCCCTGAGAGGCCTCTCAGGGCACGAGAAACAGGCATGGTTGTGGGGACCTGACCACACGGGACTTCAAGGCTGCCCCATTACAGACGGGGAACAGGCACAGAGAGGTGACGACGTGCCCAAGGCCTCACAGCTAGGAGGGTGGCCGGGTGGCCCGCCTGCCCCCCTTCCTGGGCCCTGCCCTACACACGGTGTTTCCTGCTTCCCCTGGACGCTTCACTCGCCATCCCCTTGGGGGTCCCGACCCAGGTCTATGTGGCTCTGGGGCCTGAGACCTTGTCTCTCCCCTCACCAGGCCACTGTTCCTCTTCCTGGCTCTGTAGCGCTGCGGCTCAGAGAAGACCTTTGTATCCCTACCCCGTCTGCTCCTTGGTTGCTGTGTGACCGCTGTCTGGCCCCTGACTGTCTGTTCCCCAAGGCCAGGACCCAGGCTCCGCCAGCTTTTCACTCTGGGGCTCAGGCCAGAAGGCCCTCTCTGCCCTGGGGGGTGGCCATCTGCCTCCCCACTGTGGGGAAGGGACACCAGCAGGGGTGTCAAATGGGGCCCTGTCCCTTCAGGAGCTATGGCTCTCTCTGGCTCTGATCCGCGGGACACGGGTTCACAGCCCTCGGCAGCTTACGAAGCTCTACCGGGACCCTCATCGGCACCAGCCCGTAGAGAAACCGGCTCCACTGTACAGATGAGGAAACTGAGGCAGAGGACAGCCACGCCAGCCCCCACCCAGCCCCATCACGGCCTCTGGGCGCTGCTCGCGTGGCCGTTCAGAGCAAGGCAGATGGGAGGCCTCAGTGGCTCGGGGGCATGTGGCTCTGGGCCCGGGGCATCTGCCTGGGACTCGGTGTTCGCATCCGGCAAATGGGCACTGATCCACCAACCTGGCAGAGCTGCCCTGCGGGTGGGCGGGGAGGGGCTCGTCCGCAGGAGCGCCCTGATCTCCTCCACCAGCGGGGCACCCGTGAGCAAGCGGGAGCACCAGGGTGGGACACACAGCTCAGGTACCACGATGGGCAGGGATGGCTGCAGGATGGAGAGGGGCGAGGACCACGGGCCTGAGGGTGGGTGGTCGGCGAGGACTTCCCAGAGGAGGCGCTATTTAAGCTGTGCTTGTAAAGAATCGGGAGCGTTTGGTGGGGTGAGCATGGGTGGCTAAGAGGCAGCCGGCTCTGATTCACGCCGTGGGGAGCAAGGGGGACCTGGGGCTGTGGGAGCCCGGGCCAGCCACCCCCTCGGGGCAGCCCCCAGCTCCATGCCATCTCCTGGGCCTCACTCGGGACCCTCCCCCGTCTCGAGCCTGCCCTCTCTGGGTCTCTCCCCAGGGCCGGTGGGCTGGCCCCCCGCCCCCGCCCGAGTCCCCAGGGGCAGGGGCCGGGCCAGGCAAGGCAGACAGAAGGGGAGCGGGCCTGGGAAAGCCCGGCCCGGCTGACAGGGAGAGATTGGTTTCAGCCGGAGCTGCGGGCTGCCAAGTCCACATCCTATCCGCGGCCTGCGCTCACTCAGCATTCATCACCGCTGAACCCGGAGACTTTATCGACGCTGGGGGTTGGCGCCATCTCTGGGCCTGGCCGCTCCCGGCCCTCCGATGGGCCCGATAGCCGCTGATAGATTACCCGAGATTGCCGCAGCCAGAGCCGATCACTGACACTGCTGGGCGGGGCGCGCACCACGTGGCCGGGGCAGAGACCGCGGCGCACCCGGGGGAGGCGGCTGGGCCGGCCGGCGGGGCGGGAAGGCCGCCCCGGGGGCGGAGACAGGGAAGTAGGGCCCGAGAAAACGGGCGCCCAGGCCGGCTCCGCAGTGATTCTGCAGATGGGCCGATAAGGGCTGATGGATGGGAGCGGGGGCCGGGCTAATGGAGCCGTCGCCGGGCCCACACGTCAGATGGATGGAGGCAGATTGCTTCCTGGAAGGGGACGGGGCTCCAGTGTGACAGGGCCCTGCCATGGGCGGGGGGAGCTACGGCCTGCTAGGCTCCACACCACACCACCCCCCTCACCTAGGGGGCTGGCTCTCCCTCCTGCACCGGCCCGCGGGATGGCCACTGCATCCCCGAGAGGTGGGGACTCCCCAGAGCCGGCTCGGGGCCCTGGGTTCAGGATTTCATTCACACCGTGGCACCGGGGCCCCTCTTCCGGGCCAGGCTGTCCTGATGCTCTTTGTGGATGAGGAGCAGAATGCACACCCAGGCCTGGGAGACTAGCGTCCAGACTTGTGAGCCCAGCACCCCAGGCTGTGTCTCCTGCCCCTGGGGGATGCCACGCAGGGTGGAAGAAGCCAGGGCCTCTGGGCTAGGCTTTTTCCCTGTTGGGTGTGGCCAGGCCCCAAGCAGCGAATCTACTCTGTCCCCACTGCACAGATGGGGAAACCGAGGCACCAAGAGAGTGGAGGGGGCTTCCCGGTCCCACAGGAAGTCAGTGGTTCTGCAGGGTTGAGCCCGAACCTCCCCGCCCAGGGGGCACCTCGCCCCCACGGGGGCAGAGCGAGATGAAGAGTCCAGGAAGCCGGACCGAGGCACATTGCAGCTCAAACCCTCCGCCCACCCTAAGCTTCTTTCCTCAACGGAAAACTGGAGGCTGAAAATCAGCCTCAAATTTCTAGACAGAGTAGAACGGAGGCTGCCAGGGGCCCAGGAAGGAGATGGGGGGACAGCATGGGGGGTTAGTACTCAATGGGTACAGTTTCTATTGGGATCTTTCACTACAGTACAAAAAAATAATAAAAAGTCTGCTGTCCAGTGCTGTGGGGCATCCAGCAGGCGCCACATAAGTGCCTGTTCCCATCATCCTAGGGGATAAAGACACATGCGTGCACAGCCCTCCACAGATACGCGACTTTCTGCCCCACTTGCTGGCCGTGGAGACTGAGGCCGGGGCCTGCAGGGGCCTGGTCCTGCATCGATGGACAGGGTGGGGGTGCTGGGGGCCGTGCTGAGGCTAGGAGGGAGGCCAGACACGCTGACCTGTCCCATGAATGGTCCTGGCCAACCTTCGCTGCCTGTCAGGGCTCGGCCCTGTTGGTCTCTCACGGAAGGGCCGAGGCCTGAGGGTCTTATGTGACCGGCCCGGAAGGACCCAGTGAGTAGTGGGGCTGGGATCTGCACCCAGGCTGTGTGGCTCCAAAGCCCGTGGCCTTGACCTCTCTAGGGTGAACCATGGTGATGATGGCTGTCTAGCTGCTGACCTGAGGGTCAGGATAGAGTAAGTGGAGAGGAAAAGTCTGGTCCCTGAGGAGGAGAAGGGAGGGGAGGGGCTGTGCGTTCCCGTGTCCTACCCCACATTCGGGGCCTGCCCCGGGCTGCTAAGGGCACACAGGAAGGCGCTGCGTGTCCTGGGGGTGGCACTGGCATCTGAACTGAGCCCTGTGCAACGCACGGTGGGGGCGGTCACTTCTCCTCCCCACCACGGTAGCTCGTTCCCTGCTCGCGACTTTTGCCTCTGCTGTTCCTCTCCCTGGAATGCTCTTTTCAACACTTACCACCATCTGTCCCTCCTTAAAGTAGGCTTCAGAACGGCCACCTTGCCTGCCAGGACCCCAGTCCCCCAGCTACAGGGGGACCCTCCGTCCTTAGCGTTCATTCCTGGTATCCCTTCTCTACTCCCCCACCAGTCTGGGGCTCACCAGTCTGGGGCAGGGACCGAGCCCCTGTGAGGGTCATGGGGATCCCCGACAAAATCCCCCAAACACCAGGGACTCAGACGAGTTTGGAGGCCTGAACGCACAAGGATGTCCCGAAGTCAGCCTGCTGTCCCCGTTCCCCCGCAGTCAGCCCCCAACAAAGCAAGCCTCGGCCCTGCTGCAGGGACGGGTCCTCATTGTCTGGGCTCTGTACACGACACGGCTCTGTACATTTTGGGCTCTGTACACGACAGTGGTCACTTGGAGGCACTGACTCCTCTTTCCTTTCTCCGTTGGTTTTGCTTTGCTTTCCCGGGCCGGGGCTGGGGGGTAGGGCACGGGGAGGTTGAAATCAACTGAGAGAGTTGATTGAGCACCTGCTGTATGCCCTGCACTGTCCTGGGGGAGAGAGGGCTGCTACAGAATGGGGGCCCCTTGTGGAGAGTCTGCGGTGGGTGCTGGGGCGCCCCTCTGGGGCGATGGTTCCTATGCACTGCCTTTTCACCCTCGAGTGCTGAGTCCCTCTGCCTCCTGCCCTGGGAGGCTTTGTCACCTGTCTTAAAGGGGCTGAAGGGGCTGGGCTGAGGTCACAGGGCAACAGCCTGGTTTTGGTCCGTCAGCCCCCTCCCTGTTTCCTCTCCTTAGATCTCAGCCCAAACCCGTTCCCTCCTTGCCCCTCTGCTATTTTCTACTTATGCATTTTTGAAAAACACCCACGCCTGTGACTGGGGTTTCAGGTCACGGAGTCCTGCAGGTGCCGTGGAAATGGGGGGGGGGGGGGCGGAGGCGGCTCCAGCCAGGCTCTAGGCCAGCTGGGCCTATGCAGGCCCCGTCTTACCGACGAGACAAACTATGGGGTGCAAAGTGACTTTGAACACAGTGAGAACACCCAAAGTTTCTTGAGCACTTCCTGCAGACATCGTCTCCTGCCATGTAAATTTCTGAGGATGGAAACTCTGAAAGACCCCAAGTTTCTAGAATAAACCACAACCGCAGATAGGCTAAAGAACCCCCTGAGAAAGTCTTGTCTCAGCCCTCATTGTCTGGATGGGGAAACTGAGGCCTAGGAAGCAGATGGTCCTTGTCAGAGGGCACAGAGACTGCCCTGAGAGGCAGGCAGACCAGACCCTCCCATTCTACTGATAGGAAAGCAGGTTTGGCAAAAGGGTTGGGACTGTCACTCATTAAAATGGTACCATGGCCCCGTCGCAGCCTGGTGCTGCCGCGAGCCTGGCAGTGTGAGGTCCTGGATAAAAATCATAGCGGAGGGGAAGGCAGAGATGGGGGGGGGGGGAACAGCATTCACAGAGTCTGGAGGTGCCCCAGACACAGGCAGGCGAAGCTGGCCAGCCTGGAGCTGCCCTGCCCCATTTTTGAACTCAGTGTTCCCATCTGGGAGTCAGAGTTGGCGGAGTGATCTTGGGAACGCCCAAGTCCTGGTCCCTTAATTGGGGCTGTGGGGATCTGGGCCCTGAGGGTCAGCAGGAAGTCATCCAAAGGCCAAACTGTCTATCCCCAAGCGCCTGGGCAAACGGATGGCCCCACTAGCAAGGCCCCGGGAAGGCTGGCCCTTCCAGAGCTGGGGGGATTTCCATCAGGGGGTCAAGGTCCGGGCAAGACAGTATCCCCTACTCCATAAACTAAGGGCTCCTCCTCGAGGAGCCACGCCCCCTCTGAGGTGGCCCCGCCTCACGCGTGGAGCCCAGCCAATCCCCAGGCCTCACAACCGCTCATTTGCATGTTCTCTCCCATTGGCTGCAGGGACACAGATCCTTGGTTCCCAGGCCACCGGGGCGGGGCCTGGGGAGCAGTTGAGTGGGGTTATGGCCTAGGGGTACGCTGTGCTCTGGGGGGCGGGACTAGGAGAGCCTGGTGGGGGGGGGCACCCTGGGCTGGGGGGGCGGAGCTAGGGGAGCTCTGGGCTGGGGGATCGGGGGGCTGGGGGAGGCTGGGGGGTTCAGCGGGGTGCGGGGGTGGCACGCTGGGCTCTGGGAGCCAGGGGGCCAGGGGAGCTCGGGGAAGGGGGCTGGCCTGGGTGCT